TCCCCCCTCCCCTCAGCCTCCAGCTCCTCATCCCCTCAGCGCCCCCACCGGGTCCCTGCCCCCGCCCCGGCCCGCCGCCTGCGCTGCCCGCCTGTCCCTCGGCCCGCTGAGCCGCTCGCTTGGGGCCCGCGAACAGCCAAACGAGCGCACTCGCATTCTCCGTGGCAGTATTTTGGGGGGAAAGTCGCACGGAAGGGAAGCCGCCCCTGCTCCAGCGCCCACGCCCGAGTACTCGCCCCGGGGCCAGGCAGGGGCGCCAGCACCAGCGCGCCCGGACCCGCTTACCGGCGCCGCTTCCCGGGACCAGTCCGCCGCAGTCTCCTCCCGGCCGCGCGGCCGCAGGCGGCACCGCCCCCAACTTTACGATATAAAGGAGCCCTGTCGCTTTAAACCTGAAATCCCGCGCAGACACCAGTTCTCGCGAGCTCCGAGGTCTCATACATATTACCCACAATTCCCTTTCCTTTCTTTCTGCTCCAGCCGCCCAAGATGGTAAGTGAGGTACAGTTCTGCGATAGCGGCGCCGGGTTGCGGCTCTATCCGCTGCCATCCTCCTCTGGCGCGGCCGCTCGGGGCCCCATTCTCCGCCCAGCGGTGGGGGAGCCCCACCGGGTCTGGCATGGAAGCATCGGGCTGCGCTGGAAGCTCCGGCGGCCCAGAGCGGGGTGCGCTGGCCCCTGTGGCGCCAGGTCTGGGAGGAGGCTCTTAGGGGCTGGGCCGAGGCGCTTGAACGTCTTGACGGCTCCTGTCTTCCCGGGTGCCGCCCCGGAGGTCTTGCACGAGGCGTCCCGAGCCCGTCCCCGCCGGAGGGTGGAGCGTCTCGACCGCCGTCGGCAGCTGCGGCGCCGTCCCGGCGAGCGGCGCAGATGGGCGCGCGAGCTCGGCGGTGCGTGTGGCGGCGCGGACGTCCCGCCGCTGGGGTAGCCGGCGCGCGGGCGGGGTCCACCCCCTGCCCGGGGGGCCAGCTCGAGAGAGGCGCAGAGGAGCCGCTTGACTGGGGTTTCTTTGTGCCCAGCCGAAGGGAAAGAAGGCCAAGGGCAAGAAGGTGGCTCCGGCCCCCGCCGTGGTGAAGAAGCAGGAGGCCAAGAAGGTGGTGAACCCGCTGTTCGAGAAGAGGCCGAAGAACTTCGGCATTGGTGAGCGGGGAGGGCGAACGCGGCCGTCGTGCTTCCGCGGGGAAGGGTGATGTTCCGCAGGCTGCAGTGGGTCGGTCTGCGGTCGAGGCGCCGGGGGGGAGTTCTTAGCTCGTCCCCGTGAGCCGGGGCAGTGGCGGTGGCGTCGCCGAGTTGCTGAGCGTCTGAGCCTGTCGCCGCATTCGGCGACGCTGGGACTCCGCTTGGCCATCACGAAACGCTGGCTCCCCGAGCAGAGGCGCTTTGGCTTCTTGTTGGATGCGGAACGCGTCGCGGGTGTCGCCGCGCTGCGCGGCGTTCGTGTGCAGATGATGTAAGAGAATATTTGCTATCTGAAAGATGGTGATGACCTTTTAACCACCAAGATCGCTGATGCACCAACACCGCTCTGAGTGGCCCAGACGGGGACTTGACGCGGGTTTGAGCCTCACTTACGGTGTTGGCCTTCACTTCTCAGGACAGGACATCCAGCCCAAAAGGGATCTCACCCGTTTTGTCAAATGGCCCCGCTACATCCGTTTGCAGAGGCAAAGAGCGATCCTCTATAAGCGGCTGAAAGTGCCTCCTGCCATTAACCAGTTCACCCAGGCCTTGGACCGCCAAACAGGTGAGGCTGTGAGTGTCTCAGGGGAGGAGGGAGGGCGTGCTATTTTGACAGTACTGGGAAAGGGGGTGGTGGGAACTTCCAGGTGGGTGGGTTTATTAAATCTAGGATTCCTTGTTTTGTCCAGAACGTGAAGGTGGCCTAACTGAAGAGATTGTGTATGTCGCCTTAGATTTTTTTGAACTGCAGTTGTTTTTTGATTACACCCCCATTCCTGCATTAAATACACCAGGAGGGTGGCCTAGCATTTATGTTAAAGTGACTTAGTACTTAAACTACAAGCCTAAACTGAAGGGTATCTTCGTAGCTACTCAGCTGCTTAAGCTGGCTCACAAGTACAGACCAGAGACGAAGCAAGAGAAGAAGCAGCGACTGTTGGCCCGGGCTGAGAAGAAAGCTGCCGGCAAAGGGGATGTCCCCACTAAGAGACCACCTGTCCTTCGAGCAGGTGAGTGGGCCCTCCCTAGAGGGGCTGAATGGCGGGGCAGGCTGTTGGCAGTGATGTATGAATTTCTTCACCTGAAATGACTGTGGAGAGTAAAATCCGAGCTTTTTAACACTGAGCCACAGCTGTGCCCACCTGGCTACAGCTTTTTGTGACCAGAGCAGCACCCATAAATGCTCATGTGGAGTGGCTGTGTGTGTTCTAGGGGTCAACACCGTCACTACCTTGGTGGAGAACAAGAAGGCTCAGCTGGTGGTGATCGCACATGACGTGGATCCCATCGAGGTACGTGTGACCCGCTTTTAAGCACGGACTGCCGAACCTGGGGTCTCTGCCAGTACCTGGAAGATGGAGTAGGTTTAATGTTGAGTCTGGCATGGGGCCAAAGTGGGTGACCAGGACAGTCACCTTTCTATTCCAGGACAGTACTGACAGAGGATCTAACTTGTGCATGACTTTTGCAATGATGTGAATCTCTCACTGAATTAAACCTTGAAGTGCAAATACATGAGCTTTTTAACCCTGAGCAATTGCTACCAAGCTAGATTTAAAAATTACTGCTTTTGGTCAGAACATGCTCCCCAGCTACTGCTTTCTTGCAGCTGGTTGTCTTCCTGCCTGCGCTGTGTCGGAAGATGGGGGTCCCTTACTGCATTATCAAAGGGAAGGCCAGGCTGGGGCGTCTAGTCCACAGGAAGACCTGCACCACTGTCGCCTTCACGCAGGTTAACTCGTAAGTATGCAGCTTGACCCCAGACTCTGTCCCCAAGTCACCTAATCCATTCCTCAGATTTTTTTTTTTTTTTTAACCTTAAAGGCCAGCCTTTTTGGCTAAAGGAACACATGTATTTGAGACTTTGCCAATGATGGTTAAGAATTTCTTCACCTGAATAAACCATGTGGTCACATTTTATCTGAGGCAAAAGGCTGTTTTGACCTAAAAATGAAAGCATTTCTGTTTTCTAGAAAGGTCACTAAAAGCCCACCTTTGTCCCTGCCTCCTTAGGGAAGACAAAGGAGCTCTGGCCAAGCTGGTGGAAGCCATCAGGACCAACTACAACGACAGATACGACGAGGTGAGCAGCTCACACAACACTGCCATGGGCAGATCGAGTTTGTGTGCAGGGGACTGGCTGGCTCTTAACTCTTTGAGTGATTCTATTTGGTGATCACTTGTAACAGCCAAATAGGAAAGTTAACTAGCAAGCTTTGAAAGCCTCCAGAAATGACAGGCCAAGCTGACTGCCTGCCTCTTGTTTCAGATCCGTCGTCACTGGGGAGGCAACGTCCTGGGTCCAAAATCTGTGGCCCGCATCGCCAAGCTGGAAAAGGCAAAGGCTAAAGAACTTGCTACTAAACTGGGCTAAATGTACACTGTTGTTTTCTGTACATAAAAGTAATAAAAATTATCCTTCACCCAGTGTCTGGGCATTCGAGGTTGAAGGTAATTGGGTTTGGGGTTGAAACAAGTACATTTTTTTAGAGATGGGAGTCTCACTCTTGCTCAGGCTGGTCTGGAACTCCCAGAGTGCCAGGATTACAGGCATGAGCCATCGTGCCTGGTACAAATACGTTGTTAAAACAGGAGCCATAATTATCCCCTACAGACAGGGCTTAGAGAGTCCTCTCAAACTTAACTATCAATTGCATGTCAGGGTTTTTTTTTTTGAGATTGAGTCCCGCTCTCTCGCCCTGCTTGTCTTGACCAGAACTCACAGTAATCTTAAACTTGTGGGCTCAAGCAATCCTCCCACCTCATACCACCTGTAGCTGCCAGGTACACTATCATTTTTTAAATTTTTTATATTTTGTGCAGCCAGTCAAGTTTTGAAAAAGCTATCTTAAATTCTTGAGGCTGCCGCTTTCCTTTCCGCACTGCGCAGTCTGTGACCCGCAGTGTCATGGCCAGAGTTGAGGCGCCCACCTCTCCCTTCGACCACTGCTACAGCTGCCTCTGATCTCCCCTCAACAGGGCAGCCCGGGAGCCGCCCAGGCTCACTGCAGGGGTACAGCATGTGGAACCCATCCCGGGCCTAAAACTCCGGTTAACAAAAGCCGCAGGAATTTTCACTGTGCAGGATTTTAGGATCAACCAGTCACTATCATTTAAGGTCGGAAAAGAGGCTCAGGACTTTTTTATTTATATCAGCAGTGCATGGTCCAGGATAAGTCCCGTCGGTTTTGTTTGTTCAGAGACTTCCTAGTTATTTGTGGACAGGGCCGTGTCATGTCATCTCGTCAAGCACCAGGTGTCCGACGCAGAAATTTCTTAAACCACAGGTATGAGGTGGCTGCACAGAGTCCGTACCTTGGGTTGAAAGGAAGTTAGGAGCTACTGTTAGGCTGCAGTGTTCTGAAGGAGTGGGAGCCAGGGGACAGCCAGGGACTCACCAGGTAATGATGTACTGCATGTGCTCATTCCTCACTGTGACTCTAGTCTGCCCTCCAATGGGTCCTCCAGGGACTGTGCTCTCTGTAGAGACAGTGGGCTTGAGTCCTCAGCCTGCTGCTGGTTCCCTAGGGGCTGTGGTTTCTGTGAGGGCTTCTGCTTGGGGCCAGCCAGCCCTGTGCACGGCCTCCTTTTCCTAGCACTTGCCAAGCCAAGTGGCTCTCAGCTGCAGAACTGCCCCCCACCCCACGCTAGAATGTAAGGGCCCAAAAGAAACTGGGAAGTGCTCTGATGTTCTGGGGTGGGCTGGTCACAACGTACCGAAGTCGGCATCGATGAAAATGGGGTCTGCACCTGTGATCTTGGCCATGGCCTCCAGGTCTCGGTAATACCAGTGGTTCCCTTCTGGATTGTTCTCAGGGACAAAGGGCTTCCTGGTTTCTGTCAGCCTGACCATCCCAACGAGGTCCACTTCTCCCTCAATCTGTGAGGGGGGTGTGACACTGCTCTGCATGGAGATGGGATGACTCCTACAGAGCCCTCCTCCAAAGGGGGAAAGGGTCCTGGTCCCTTACCTGGCCTTTTCTTCGGGTGTCGGGATTTACTTTCTTCCTGGGGACAAACCCTCTATTGACCAGGATTGTGGTTCTAGAATAATGAAAAGATGCTACTTCAGGAGGAGAAGGGTTTTTGAATGATCATCACTAACGACTACAGCACCAAGGTTTTTAAAACAGGACTGAGTCAGTGGGGACCAGACCTGGGAGCACACGCTTGAGAGCCTTCACCTCTTGAGCCCCTTTCTTGGTTGGGAAGAGCTGCTCACCCTCCCCTTTACTTACCAGCCTGACTCTGAGGTTTCTGACAGAAACCTCCCTGCCGCTTTCCTTTCCGCACTGCGCAGTCCGTGACCAGCAGTGTCATGGCCAGAGTTGAGGCGCCCACCTCGCCCTTCGACCACTGCTACGGCTGCCTCTGATCTCCCTTCAACGGGGCAGCCCGGGAGCCGCCCAGGCTCACTGCAGCCTGGTAGGGGTGCAGCATGTGGAACCCATCCCGGGCCTAGAACTCGGGTTGACAAAAGCCCCAGGAATTTTCACTGTGCATTCATCTTCCAGTTCCCCAGTTACACGGGTCCTCTCGTACCCGTCATTTCCTTCGCTTGTAAGTCTTTCCCATCTTCTAACTCTGTTTGGGCCAAACAGCCCCCGACGAACCTCCTGATTGAACTCCCCCCGGGCAGGGCTGGGGTTTTCTCCTGAGTTTCTCACTGCCCCAGGATCGTTTAACGCATGGGCCAACGGACAGTTGCTCCAGAGCGTCCTGCCTCACTCGTCTGCCTCCCCTTCAGAGCTGAACACGCACAAGTCCCTTGGTCACAGGTGAGCTGGCTACGCAGGTTGCTTATTCAGTGTCACAATTAGGGATTCCACAATCTTCAAAGGACTGAGCCTTTCTGAGTACCTTGGATTCCCAAGGTTTACTCCTAGGGCTGGGAATTGGCACATCCAACTGCACCTGCCAGGGCAGCTGGCTCCCCACGTGGCCCACTCACCCCAGGTCAGGGCAGTGGAAGGGAGTGATGACATGGGCCCCGCTCTCAGCTGAGGAGGAGATCCGGCCGGCCTCCCGGGCCTCTCGGGCAGGGTCCACCATGGTCCGGGGCATCATGTACAGCTCCTTGGAGTGGTCAAAATGCCCTCTGACCTTCACTGGCCTGTACTCCAGCGCCTTCAGTTCCACTGGGCTGCGTGGAGAAAACGGCAGTGGGGCAAGGCTTGGCTGGAAAACAAATGCCCTGATGGGGGCCACACACTACAAAGCCCACCAGGGCCAGAGAGGTAATGTAGGAAGGCGGAGGGCAGGCACAGGGGTCTGCGGAATCACAGAGCATGCCCTCTGAAGGGGATCCCTCAAATATACTGGACCTGAAAAAAGGGTGACACCCAGGATCAAAAATAAGACTTTTCTACTAATGTCAGGAGGCCTCATGTAGCTTCACAGTCAGGTGTCAACAGCAAGCCCAGCGGGATGACTCATTCAAGAAAGTGACCGACAAAAGGTCCTGTCAAGAAGGGTAGGAGGGACCAGCAGAAGGCAGGGCCCCACTGCTGACCTCCAATAAGATGGTCCCCAGGTGGGCAGCCACACTCACTCTGCTGGCAGAGGGATGGGCTCAGCCAGAACTCGAGACTCTAACTCTGCAATCAGGTTCAGCTTCCACTTCCGACGCTGGACCTACAGAAACAGAGCACAAGCCGAAGCAGGTGGCAGCAGGGGCCAGGGCTCAGACCCACCCAAACCACATGCCAGTCTTTACCTGCCATGTCCCCAAGCCAAAGGCAGTCACGGGGATGAGAAGCAGGAACCACTGGAGAAAGGAATCCTCTTCTGCTTTTGTGGCAGGTGCTTCTGCTGCAGAACTGCCACATCTGCTTGGCCTCCAGGCCACTCCTGGAGAAAGTGTCACAACACTGGCATGGGTCAGAAGCTCTAGACCAAACAGAACTGAAGCAGCCAATTTCGCAAGAAGACTCCACCAATATTGCCAGAGACAATGTGGCACAGGAGTGAACAGATGAAAACCTGCTGCCGGGAGCCCACCAGAAGCACCTGTGTCCAGCCCAGCTCCTAACCCTGCCCAGCACACGGGGACGTGGCATACACTCAGTAGATGTTTGATGACTGAATAAGTGAGATCTAGGGCTTTGTGCTGGCTCGACCACCAACCATGACCCTGGGTAACTCAGGTAACCGACTCATGCCTCTTTATTCGATAATATGTTAAGACGTGTTCTACTGCACGAAGATGCACAGTATTGACTCATTCCTTCAAAAAGCATTTCATAAGCAGCTACGCTTGCAAGTAGCTTACTAAGTACTACTGGCTTTGTGCTGTGCAGAGAAAGCAAGACGGCACAGCTCAGGATAGTGGCTTGCAGAGCCCCTAACAGCTTTCCTTCTTCGCTGCTCATCATACATGTGAAGACGAAGCAATGTACTAAGCTCTCAGAGAGTGAGTCCCACCAGCTGAAAGCGACACGGGCCTTGTGGCTGGAGCAGGCTTACAGAATACCTTTTATTTGTGCATGGCACCTACTGACTGCAAAATACCCTTTGCTGTGCACTGAAAGGAAACGTGACTGCGGTGGTCAGACGCGCTTTGCTTTAGACTGCCAGAGCCTGCGCTCCCATCCTGGCCTGCCGCGCTCATTAGCCGGGCGAGAGCTGGCAAATTAGTCTTGAACCCTCCCCAGGGCGGGACCCACAGAAGGAGCCGCCCCTCGCGTTGCTGCGGGGCTCGCGCAGGGCCGCGGCTGCCTCAAAGGCATCTAAAGTGAAACTTTATTCCACGGCTCTCCCGGGAAGCCTATGTCCCGCGGGCAGCTACAGCTTCATCTCGACCCCCACGACACAGCCCTTCGCCGCGGGGCGGAAGGCAGGTGTGCTTCCCGGCGCCTCGACCACAGCCCGGCCTGAGTCTCCTCACCTGGGCGCAGGGGGACCCCAAGGACGCTCCTCCGGGCAGCGCGGGCCGGGGCCTGCGGGAGGGACAGGCAGGCTGAGCGCCTCCGCTCGGCCCCGCCGCCCCCGTGACGCCGCGCCCCACCCCTGCCGCCCGCCGGGCCCCGCGCTCACCAGGCCCGCGCACGCCGCCCGCAGGCCCGGCCGCTGCGCCGCCAACGCCGCCATCGCTTCCGTCCCCGCGGGCGCTTCCGGGGCGCGGGAGGCGTCTGCTTCCGGGGCGCTGCTGAGCCCCGCCCCAGCCCCGCCCCCGGCTCCACGAGGTGCGAGACGCGTCCGTCGGGCTGCGGGGCCATGAGCGAGCCCGAGGCCGATGTCCGGGCCTTCCTGAGCCAGCACCCGAGCCTGCGGCTGCAGCCGGGCGCCGGCAAGGTCCGCGGCGGGCTTGGAGGGGCGCGGGGAGGAGAGGAGGGGAGGGGAGGGCAGCGGGCGGGGGAGGGGGTGGGGCCCGGCCCCCTGACCGCCCGCCCGCCCGCCCGCAGGTGAGGTGCGCCCTGACGGGCCACGAGCTGCCCTGCCGCCTGCCCGAGCTCCAGGTCTACACCCGCGGCAAGAAGTACCAGCGGTTGGTCCGCGCCTCCGCGGCCTTCGACTACGCTGAGTTCGAGCCTCACATCGTGCCCAGCACCAAGAACCCGTAGGTGGCCCGCGGCGGGGCGGGAGGACTCAGGACGGCTCCTCCCCGGCCCCGGTGCCCGAGCCCCTCAGGGTAGCCCCTCAGGGTGACGCCGGGGACAACGGGGTCCTAGTGCAGTCGGGGGACCTGAGGGAGGGTGTGATGGGGTCGGGGTCACTTCTTTGCCTCAGAAAGGAGCGTTGATTTAGCTGATAGTGGAGGGTTGACGATCATCTCAGCGCGAAGAGGGGGTGGTGAGCGCTGCAGGGGTGAGGCTGGCTGTGCCTGTTTTCAGGTAAACTTTAAGCCGCTTCCTGCCCCAGCTGCAGAGTGGCACTGCTTGGGGAGCTTTAAAAAGTCCTGCTGCTCAGGCTACACCATAGACCATCCTGTGCTCTCCCAGGGGCGCCTTCACGTCCGGGGGGGCACGGGGGATTCCACGATGCAGCGCTGGTCTGGGTCCTTGCCGTGAAGGGTCCCTGCAAACCAAGGTCTCCCTGCCCGGTAGGCACCAGTTGTTCTGCAAACTCACCCTGCGGCACATCAATAAGTCCCCAGAGCACGTGCTGAGACACACCCAGGGCCGGCGGTACCAGAGAGCGCTGCGCAAGTGTAAGTCCCTGCGTCAGAGCACACAGGCACGTGGTCTGTGCGCCCTACCCAGATGGGAGCACCCCTTGAGGGCAGAAGTGATGCCTTAGGTCATTCTTTAAGTCTGCTTAGTTCCTGGCACAGTGAAGAGAGGGACCACGGCCCCGCCTGTCCGAGAGCCAGAAGCAGGCATGGAAAGATTGCACGTTTTGACAAGCGGTGTGGAAGAAAGTGCCAGGGTCGCAGGGAGGGCCTGCCGTGGACCAGAGCGACGTGAGGGGGCAGCACTCCAGGTAGAGGCCATTGTCTGCGGAGGTCTCAGGCAGAAAGGTGCTTGGCTGTGGGAGGGTCCAAAGGATGGCCTCGGGCCAGCGTTCGAGGTGGACCAGACCACACAGGCCTTGCAGGCCCTGGCCAGGAGCACGTGCAGTGGGTGCACTGAGAGGGTGGGGACAGGGACCGGCTGCAGAGTCACCCAGGAGGTGGTGGTGACTTGGGGAGAGGAAGCAGATGCAGAGGCTCCAACTGCTTTGGGAACAGAACCAGATTGGGAATGAGGAATGGAAGAAAGAAGTCCCCCAGGCACCCCACGTTGGTGGCTGAGAACCAGTTAGTAGAGGATGGCCTGGTGAAGACACGAGAGGGAGTCCGAGTGGCAGGCTTTGCGGGGGAATTATGAGTTCCTTTGAGGAGGGGTCTCCGGTGGGAAGGCTAGCACCCTGTGGAGGCCTCCAGGCATGAGGACCACCACCTGAGCTTGGCCTGTTTCCAGTCAGAGTGTTCAGCTGCTTGGGGAGGGTGGGCAGGAAGGTGCTAGATTGCAGGGGCCGGGGGGTTTCACAGATGAGAGTGGGTTTGATGATGGACGTGGAGCCCAGAGGGGACTGGGGACGGTGAGGCCACTTCAGGGCAGTGGTCTGAAGGAGTCAGAGCGTGGCGTTGGGGGACCCGGCCCAGGGCACTGTAAGGAGACTTGGCCTGCAAGCTCGGCGCTGGCAAGGCTGCTGTGTGGCTGTGGGAGTGGGTGGCAGAGATGACAGCAGCATCAGAGGCCGGGGCCCAGGAGGGCTCGTCCAGCCCACCGGGGTGATGGCGGGACATCACTTCCCCTGCTAGGGGAGCCGTGCTGGGCTGGAGGGCAAACTCCAGGACCCCCTTCATCCACGAGGGGACAGCAGCGGCAACTTCAGGGAGGCCTTTGTCAACTCCCTGCCGCAAGCCTAGGGGCAGCAAGGGCCAGACAGCCACTTCCACTGAGCCCTGCCGTCCAGGACAGGTGCCCAGCTGTGCTGAGAGGACTTCAGTCTGCTGGAGACAGGCTGGGCTGCATCTGAGAGGCCTGTCAGCCTCGCCGGGGCACGGCCTGCCTAGGGGCCTGCTCTGTGCTCTCCCAGCCACTACTTGCTATAGCCTGGCTGGGTCGCAAGGCCCAGTGGACTGGCACCATTTTGCTCATCCCCACAGTCGTGGGGCCTGGGCAGAGCGCAGCCCCCCACGTTAGCCGGAGGACTGGGGGCGTGGGGGAACTGGGCGTGTGCTGGCTTCTCTCCCAGATGAAGACTGTGAGCAGCAAGGGCTGGAGTTCGTCCCTGCCTGTCTGCTGCACGGGAGGAGGAGGAGAGAAGACCAGAGGCACAGCGGCGGGCGGCCGCGCCCCAGAGAAGCCTTCTGGGAGCCTGCGTCCAGTGACGAGGGGGGAGCCCTAAGTGACGACAGCATGACAGACCTGTACCCACGTAAGCGGGAATGGCCCCATCTCCCCTGACTCCCTCTGGTTCTGGTCTGGGTAGCTGCCTCCTGTCAGGTGTTCTCAACACCCCTGCACGGAAGGCAGTGACTTTGACCTGAACGACCTTCAGCCAGATCCACTATCCCTTCCAGCTGAGGTGTTCACCAGACAGGACCTGGGAGGGACTGAGAACGGGGATAGCACCGATGACGCTGTGACAGACGAAGAGGACGAGAAGCCAAGGCCCCCAGGAGACAAGGGTGCTGGTGTCAGGAAGGAGACGGGAGCGGCCGGGAGGCTGGCCCCAAAGCGTGGGAAGGTGAGCCGTTCCCCTTAGGCTGCTCGCCTGGCAGCAGGGATGGTTTTCAATTTCTTAAAAATAAAAAAATTGGACTTTTTTCACATATGAAGTCCCCAGCTAGCAGCCGCTCAGACGGGGGCGGCCCGTCGCTTCTGTGGAAGCCAGGCTCCTCGGACGGGGTTCGAGGCCGCTGCTTAGCGGGCGACCCCAGTGCCCACCGCAACCTGGGGTTGGTTTGCCTGAGGCACGGGAACCTAGAGGAAGGGACTGGATTTACTGGACTCGCCTTGGCCTTTGCTAGCAGAGCTTTGGGAGGAGCAGGACCAGGCTGGCACTGTGGGCGGGCGGTGCGCCCAGCTCCTCTGACTGGCTGCAGCGTGTGGTCTTATCCCGCGGCTATATGGGAGCCGGTGGTGTTTAGACTAACACCAGCACCTCTCTGGCTGGGGGCTGGGGGAGCCTTTGACTGGAAGAGCCCCTCCCCGTGGGATCAGACAGGCTCCTGTAATCGGAATCCTGTTCATGCCACAGAAGCAGCTGGGCACCCTGAAAAAGAAGTTCAAGAGTCATCACCGAAAACCTCGGCGCTTCGGCTGCTTTAAACAGTCGGGTTAATAAAGTGCTAAGAAAGCCTCAGGCCCTCTTCTGTGAGCCGCATGTGTCCTCTGACTTCCTGGGGTGTCCCCAGTGTTTTGTCCACCCACCGGTCTTTGTCTCATGATGTTTGCTGCCCCTGAGGCAAGGCTGCCCCGCAGATGCGGGGGTCCTGTCACCCACACCCAGGAACCACACCCAGGAAGCAGCAGGGGCTCAGAGGTAAGAATCTTCTCTGGACACGGCTTCAGAGAAGCCTAAAGCACGGCCTAGCTCACCACAGTGTCCCACGGAGAGCCCTGGCCAGACCCCAGCCCAAGCTGGGCGACACCTTAGGATGACACTGTGTACAACAAATGCCATTATTTATTTTGATGTGTTTCCAAAAATCAATGTTTTCAAACACAACTAAGATATAAAATACAGCATAAAATGAGATTTAGATCTATTTCCCACATAAAGCAAAAAAATTTTCAGAAATTGTGTTGCCAGAACCAATTGGTAGGTCACACTTTTCCTCCTGCTGGCAAAGGCATCTCCCCCGTCTTGGGCACTCGCGCGTTCAGGGCCAGGGACCCAGAACCACCCCTGGGATCGAGGCGCTGCTGCTGCCGCCGCAGAACTAGTGCTGACTGCACTCTCCACCCCTACCCGACAGCGACGCTGCGTTCATGGGGGCGGGTGTGGGCCAGGAGATAGCCCTGCTGAGTTTGAAACACAGTTAGAAGCCACTCTGTGCAGTGAGCATCTGAGTGCCAAGGAAGAAAGAACCCCTGTGTCCTGAAGCCACTGCTTGATTTTATAAATACTAGGAGACTGAGGGTGGGCCACGAGGTGGGTTGAGGAGGTGATGGGTCCAGGTGCAGGGCCGGTGGGTGCCCAACAGCACTGGGGGCAGAAGCAGCCTCACCTCTGCCCTACAAGCCAAGGGGCGAGAGAAGGGTGAGCCCAGAGACTGGTCAGGACCGGCCCCCGGCAGCGCCAGGGTAGCCTCAGCCAGCCTGTGCCCAGAGGGATGCCTGACTGCCGTGCAGCATTCACCGCGGCGCAGATGAGCAGGGAACAAGCGATTAGCCCCCCCGCACAGAGAGGAACACGCTGTAAGGCAATGTTAGAAAACTTTAGATACAGGATCAAGATCAAATCAGTAAGGCATCACAAATCGTAAAAAGTAATCTTGGCTGCATTCAGCGTAGCAAGTGGGCAAGGTTGGAGCAAGTGACAACCTCGGGAAAGTGGTGTGTGTGGATGGGCCCCAGACCTCACGCTGAGGTCGGTGTGAGGTAACAGGCCGAGCCCGCAGGTGGCAGCGTGAGATGCCCGGGGCCACGGCGGGCCCGCCTCGCTGCTGGGCCCAGGTGGCCAGCACCACCCAGAGCCGCCGCTTCCCCAAGGACTTGCCACCCCTCATCCCTGCCTGAAGCCGCTGAAGCTCCCAGGGTGTTACCAACGGAACACAGCGATTGGATCAGAGCCAACTTTCCCAGTGGTGTCTGCTACCGCAAACGGCAGCTCCCACCACCCCTGACGCTGCACCACTCTGCGTCCTCGCTGTTCCTAGAAAGTATTACAGCGCAGGGGCAGAAACAACGTTGAAGCCACTGCTACGATTTTAACCAAGGAGTTTAACTGTGGTATTTGGCCGAACCATCCAAAATCGTTTAGTAGTTTGAACTAAAAATGTAAACTTAAAAAAAAAAGAGGGAGACTGATTTGAATGATGTACAAATGTGTCTGCTCACAGTACAGCTTGAGGACCCCTCCCCCAGGAAAAAAAAATCAAAATCGGGACTGAGGCCATAACCAGCCCAGCTGCTCACTCCAGAGGCTGTGCCGTGGCGGGGACCGACTGTCCGGCTGGCCAGCACGAAACAGACACCAGAGCGTGGCTCCCGAGCAGATTCAGCCGTCAATTTCCAGGTGTCTCTGCAAATAAAGTTCTCAGAACATCTGTGCCCTTGCCAGGGAGGGAGGGAAGAGGATACCTAAATGCTGGCAGTTTGGTTGCATCCGCCCACACCAGTCCTTGGTGGCCACGGCCCTAGCTGGGCAGGGTGGGGACCTCTGGCTGTTACCACTCCTTCTTCTTCTCATCCATGGAGACGCCCCCGGGGCCCAGAGCCACCACCAGCAGCAAGCCCCCGATGACCGACATGGTCTGGAAGAAGTCGTACTTGAGGAAGTCGTGCATGGGCTTGTAGACGGGAATGGTCCAGAAGGCGTTGAAGTACACGTTGATGGCGAACAGCCAGACCACGAGTGTCAAAGCCGCCAGCTTGGTTTTAAAACCGACGGCCACCAAAATCATCAGCGCCGTGCCCACGATGTTCTGCACGATCTGCGTGGGTCGAACGGTTAAGAAACTCAAATGTAAGGAAAAAAGATATTTTATAAAAAGTTCCACCTGCCCCTTATCACTGGGGTATCCGCGCGGGGCTGGTGCAGCCAAGCTGAGGGCGGCAGGCGGGGGACGAGCCAGCGGTGGGCAGCAGGGGCAGCAAAGCCTCGAAGCCTGAAGCGGTGGAGAAGCGTGAAAGCCTCAGTCAGCACGGCCTGTGCCTGCCCGCAGCGAGCTCTAACGACTGGACTCCCGGGCGCCTCCTGGCCCGCCCGGCCACCCACGCTAGAAATGCCCTCTTCTCCTCAGGGCACCAGGAGCCGTCCTGGGCACCTCGCCCGGCCAGGGCTCTCGGGCAGCTCCTGGAGGACTCTGCACCCTGACAGTGGCACACGGGAGTCGTGGACGAAGGTGTGTACGGCCAGGAGGGAAACAGAAGCAGGAGGCTGCGCAGAGGGCGCTGGCGGCAGTGGGAGGAGGACCCGTGCGTGGGCACTGGGACCCCAGCAGTCAGGGAGGGCCCGGGCTTAGTTTGCTGGCCAGGCAGCTTCTTGGCACACAACAGACTGACGGCTCCTGGCTGGCTGAAGGGATCGGAGGTTTTCTCCCCCGGGGCGTGGCTGGTGTGCACCAGCGAGTGGGGGCGGGCGGGAGGCTCTGGAAACGAGACCCGGTCACGCCTGCGGGAATACTTACAGAGAAGAAGCTGGCGTCCAAGTGAAGGAGCGTCATGAACATCAGAACCAGCAGGACCCTGCCTCCGAGCTGCATGTACTGCTTGGGGGAGCTCTCGCGCATGGTGGGGACACCCGCGAACATGCTCTTCCCTTCAGAACGGGACTCCGCCAGGAGCAGCAGCAAGCCTCCTCCCAGGGCCAGGTTCCTGAGGACCAGAAATGCCAGCCAGCAGCTCACCAGGCGTCTGGTCTGTCCCTCAGACCAGACCCAGGGAGACCGTGGTGCGCACAGGAAGGGCCCCGCTTCCCTCTCTCCAAACTGAGCCGGCTGCCGGGCAGGCTCCGTGCACAGGACCTGACTCGACTTAAACCGCCGTGAAATCTTACACAGCTCAAGAAACAGAGGTGTCTTTCCAGATAAACAGCAGCAGGCTACACACATAGGACCCAGTCCTAGTTGCGGCTTCGCTGTTGGGCCGGCTGGGTCCCTGTGAGGTCACTCAGACCTGTGTCCCCAAACCCATGAAATAAGGGGTCAGAAGAGATGGCTGCACCCCCACTACCGTCCAGGGGCTCTGCGATATCCACTGCAGAATCTGTTCTGAGAAGCTCGGTTTAGACGGAAAGGAGTTTATTCCAACCGGAGTTACTGAGTTTAGAGATACACAATGAGGATCCCTTAACTGAAATGTGTGGGACCAGACGCATTTCAGAATGTTTTGGATTGTGGCATATTTATATTACATACTTACCCGCTGAGCATCCCAAATCCGAAAATCCAAACTCTGAAATGCTCCGATGAGCACTTCCTTTGAGTGACGCGTCAGCACTCAGAAATGTTCAGATTTGGGATGCGGAACCCGCGTGAGAAGAGTGCACTAAAAGTCACCGGCCAGAACGCACGTACCTCATCAAGAACTTCAAGTCCCATAAAATGCTGTAGGCGATCGTCTGTGGGGAGGAAGACGGAGACTTGAGTCTCAGCGTTTTCAAATGAACGTCTCCAAAATTAACAACAGCATCCGGCAGTTTTTCCAGTACAAGTGGGAATACAGAACACAAAAACCATTTTAGGACACTGAGGACAGATCCAAGTTCAAGAATTTGGTTCAGTGTTTCTCAGAGTGTGGTGCTGGGCCCTTGGACCTGTGGGTCTAACCAGAGTCGGGCCCACCATGTTGCAGAGGTGACCGAGACGCTGATTGGCGACACTGCTTCCAGCGTTCTTTCTGAGAAACCAGCTTGCACCTTATGAAGTGAAGGGATAAAAAAACACTGCTCTGGCTGTAGCCACGCTAGTGACTTCCCCTCATCACAGGAATCTCAGGAACATGGCAAAGATGGCCAGTACCCAGAGCTGGCCCCTACTGAGGGGTCCAGCCTCTATGGCCCAGTGCCACTGTCTGGTTCTCCTGAGCTTGCTATGACTGAAACCCAGCGATGTTCCCGGAAAAAAAGGAGGTCCAGGCAGGCAGAGATGCCACAGGGCTGAGGGGCAGTGACACTGACCCCTTGAAGATGCCTTTTCAGGAGCTCTGCTCCACCGGAGCAAAGAAAAGTGAGACCCCACTACGCGCCCCATGTCCCTGCAGTGCGGGGATTCCACCGTGGGACCCCACTGCGCGCCCGTGTCCCTGCAGTGCTAGGACTCCAACAAGAGCCCCCGTGGCGTCCACGCACCTGCAGCGCTATGATGCCGAACAGCCCGAAGCAGGCGTACTGCACGAAGTTCCTGCTCAGCACCAGGACGCAGCCGGCTGTGGGGAGAAGAACATCATGAACGTCACAACGGCAGGGTTAGGGGGCCTGTGGGTGGCCCAGGCGAGGAGACAGTGTCACAGCACACTGCCACCTCACCTGGCCCTCTGGTCCAGCTGCAGCCAAACCACCTACCCAAGCAAAAAGCAACTTCTGGGAGAATTAATGACAGGCAAGGGCCACATGTGATGAGTTACTTTCTGGAAAGCGGCTCCCTTGCTGTGAGGAGGAACGGCCGCCTTCCGGTCAGCTGTCCCCCCGGGCACGATCCACTGCCCTACGTGGGGGCACAGCAGGCCGAAATGCCAAGTCCCTTCGTCACCCTGTGATGGCCAGGGGAGGCCGTCAGGAGCAGAAGGAAGGCCGGAAGCCGGCAGGCGTCTCCGCCCGGTCCGGCACCCTCCCTCAGCCGTTCACCGGGGTCCCACCGGCCTCTCCAGCGCAGCTCCTCGCAGGCCTCCCAGGCCACCCGGCACCTCCGTCTCCTGCTCTGGGCACGGGACAGGGACCACGTCACGCTGCTGTAGCGAGCCCCAAAGCAACGAGCCCAGGCCTGGAGGCAGAGCTGGGGAAAGCGGCGCGGGCCACGGCCTCGGGAGCCCCTGCCGTTCACGCGCAGCGCTTACTAACGATCCGGGGCAAGAAGCCCAGCGACTCCTGACAGCCCCCGGCGCCACTCACTCAGCTGTCCGAGCAGGTTGAGGAACACGAAGGACGAGGCGAGCAGGTAGCCGCAGCTCCAGGTGGTGTCGATGTAGTCGCGCTGCTCGCCCCACTGGAACCACATGCGGATGCCGTCCTCCAGGAAGGTGCTGATCAGGCAGAGGCGCGCCACGTGGGGCAGGTACTGCTTTGTGACTCGCAGGAACTGCAGGGCCACAGAAACCTGGGGGTCAGGCGGCTGTGACAGGGCACACAGACCCAGCCAGCGCTGCCTCGGGCAGGGCACGTGTGGGGACAGGGCAGTAAGGACAAGCAGACACAGCAGCCCCGGGGCCCTCCACACCTGCTCCTGAGCACCACCCTGCAAGCCTGGACACACGGGACAAGCCAGGCGTCAGTCCCAGAGATGGACGGCCCAGCGGCAGGCCCACCTGCACAGACGCCACAGGGCGAGGCCCCAACACCCTCCGCTGTGATTTCTTGCACCGCTGCGGCAGGCTTGCCTAGGTGGCAGCTACAGCGACAGTCCTCAGGTGGCACTGCCACAAGACACACGGTGCTCTTTTCAGTGAAAGGCATGGACAGAATCACAGAGTGACAGCTGAAAGTCCCCTAAAGGTCATCTGGTCCGGGGTTTCTCCACCGCAGCACAAGTGGCTCTGGGCTGGCGTTCTTTGTGGGGGGGGGGGGCTGTCCTGGGCACTGCGGGAGTGGAGCCGCGCATGGCCTCTGCCCACGGATGCAGTGGCAGCCCCCGTGTGGCACCACAGTGTCGCGCACCATTGCCACACGCCCCCACCGCTCTAGTCCAACCCTTCGTGCTATAAATGGGCAAACTAAGCCCGGGAGGCAGGTCCCCTGGGCTGTGCTAATGGCACAATTCTGTGCCTCGACCCCAGCCTGCTGGTCACACACAGGGAAGGGCTAAGGCCTTGAACTCCTAGCCTTCCCAGCGCCGCTCAGAGCCCTCCAGACAGAACCAGAACCAGAACCAGGTCTGGGGGGCCTCACAGCCAGCTGAACGGTAGCTCACGCTTTGCAGGTATCCAAGTCTCCAGAGCAGCAGCAGGAAACCCCAGACTCTGAAGAGCATCTGGTATAGTCACAGAGGAAAGCTGGCATGTCCCAGCCCCTGACATGTCCCAGTTCCCCTCCGGACAGCTCAGGATCTGACTCGCACAATGGGGTGTGCGAGAATTCTCAGTAAGAGATAGAACTGCAACCGGGCGTGGTGGCACACGCCTGTGATCCCAGCTACTCGGGAGGCTGAAGCGGGAGGATCATTTGAGCCCAGCCTGGGCAGCAGGGTGAAACCCCATCTCTAAAAAAAAAATATTAAGTTGGTATGACTAATGGCTAGAAAGCACCGGGATTTTTTTTAAAGGCTGTGTAACCCAAAGCAAATTAAAAATACACTACAGCCTGCGCAACACAGCGAGACCCCCACCTCTAAAAAAAAATACCAAAATTAGCCGGGCGTTTGGCGCCTGTAGTCCCAGCTACTTGGGAGGCTGAGGCAGAGGATGGCTTGAGCCCAGGAGTTTCAGGCTGCAGTGAGCTACAATGATGCCACCGCACTCCAGCCCAGGAGCAGAGTGAGACCCTGTCTCAAAAAAAACAAAAAATAAAAATAAAAAACACACTAACAAATAGGATGGACAACTGTTTCGATAGCAAGATAGTGTATAAAATCATGCTCAAAGGTCAAAGGGATAAATACATTTATGACTTCCTTCTGTCCCTTACAAGTCACGTCATTTATGATGGCTGGATTAGGAGGCCACCATGCACTGCTGAATGCCAAGTACGAATGTCACGCAGGTATACCCCATGCACTTTTATCACCCACTCAAAACTGATACAGAGTGGAAGAAATCCTAGACAACACGGCAAGCCCTCGGGAGAAAGATCAGGGGACCCACCCGCAGAAGTGACGTGTCAAGAAGCTGGGTCCAAAGGGCATGCGCGAGTCAGACCCCTGCACGGGACAGGTGAGCCCATGTCGGCTGCACAGGCCTTGAGGGCTGGCAGGACCTGCTGTTGGGACAGATGAGGACGCACACAGAGTGTTTTTTACCATCCACACTTTACACACCGGCCAGAGTCCTAGACCCTACCGAGGCTCCCGTCTCACCAGCGAGCACCGGGGTGGGGCCCTGGCTTGGTCGGCATCACGACGGGCCCCATGGGGCAGGGAGCGGCAGTCACAAAGCGGGTGGCCACTCTCCTCCCAGCGCCCACTCAGTCCCTGACCCCCACTGACGTGATGGCAGGTGAGGTCTCAACTCTCATCTTTTCTTTGCCTAAAAAATTCCTTTCTAAGGGGCCCTGGTGATTTGGATTTTCTGGTCCACACAGGAATGGCAGCGACAAACACCCGGAGAATCAACCCGCCGGGTCCGAGGAAGGAAACAGAGCCTGAGGCCTGAGTACCCTGTCCCCAGCCCGCCCCACATCGACCAGCCAGTGCACTGCATGGCCACGGACAGGCCAATTTCCTGTTCTGGGGTCTCTACGCTCCCTGCAAAGTGAGGACAGCTGGGTTAATGCTTGCTAAGAGTCGTTCCAACTTGAAGCCTAAAATCAGCAGGGAAGGATAAAGGAGAAAAACTTTTTTTCTTTTTGTAGAAAAGAGGTCCAAATACTTCCATGTGAACTTGAGACCCACGCAGAGAAGAAGTAAGATGTGTACACACAGCGTTAAACACGCCCACACCGCGCCAGGAGGTACGGGGACAGCCACGCCACACAGCGTCCCCGGGTCTGGCTCCTGGCCTCAGTGCTTCTGAAACGCCCAGCAACGGCACAAGCACCGGTTCCGCGGGAGAGGCGGAGACCGCTGCCCCTGCCCCCAAGTAGCGCTGCTCTAGCGCAGCGACCTGCGCGTCCCGGCAATGGCGCAGGCCTTCACCTCCCCAGCGTGGAGCCCAGAGGCAGACATCCGAGGTGTTCCGACTTGCTTCCAAAATGAGGCTGTCAGCCACTCACTGACCCCCAGACGAGCGAACAAGCCCCGGCCCGTGGGCTGCGGTCCAGCCCCCCTTAGCCGCAGGACCCTCATTTGACACGTCATCGGCCACGCGCACAGCCCGCGAGACGAAGGCAGTGTTTAGGAGCCTCCGTGATGAGTCGGCTACGCTTAATTTGAGTGTCTGGGCCAAAAGGATGAAAGAGCAAAAGAGACCGAGGTGGGACGTGCAATCCACACCCCTGCCCCGGCGCGCGGCCAGGAGCAGGCGCAGCTCTTTGCTTTGGGGGGAGGGGACGGATTCAGGTCCTGCACTGCACGCGGCATGTCCACGGCGTGGCCGTGCTGGTTGTCAAAGGCAAGCGTGACGGTGGCCCAGGTCGAAGGCCGACCGTTCTGGAGGCCAGGCTGACGCAGAGCCTCCGTTAAACCGGCCACCGCCTGAGGAGCATCTGTTTGGCATGAGCGTGAAAGAAGAGCCACAGTCAATGACAAGGCCAGACCCAGGGTTGACCTTGCCTCCTACACGCACGCTGGTCACACCTGTGCAGACCTGGCGCTGGCCCCACGTCATGCGGCTCTAGAAGGCATCCTCAGCACAGCAGAGACGGTCCCACGACTCGGGCAGCACCGGGCCACTGCTGGCAGCCGGCACGCAGGCCGTGGGCCGCAGGCCAGGTGCACACGCTGGCTGTACAAACACTGCGAGCTGTAAACCCGTGGCCGTCCCCTCAGCAGAGATCTGTGACAGGAGCGCCAGAGGACGACGCTGACCTGGACAGCTCGTGAGAAGAGGAGATGACACAGGCAGCTCCCTCCGTCGGCAAGCTTCTCGCGAGGGCGCGGCGCGTGAGCGCGGACAGCGTCCCCGTTAGCAAGTGAAAGCTGAGATTTCGCTCAGAGGGTTATTATCTCAGAGTCTTGCAGGGCATTTTCGAAGCGTAATTAAACCCAGCCCGGGAGACGGCTCTGGGCCGACAGCACACGGCCACCTGCCGCTCCCACACCACACAGAAAAGCGACTTCCTCTTCACGTTCAGGACAAAAAGTAACTGGGGGGCAGCCTGCGGTTATCGATACACGAGAACTCTGAGGAAGAACGAAGGTCAGATTTCCTTGATCACCAAGGACTGGGGCTGCCCTGATCAAGGGCCGACTGAAGTCCACAAACCTAGAAACGAGACCCTGTGCCGAGTGACTTCCCTCACACCAGGCTGAGTCAGGGCTGGCGCAAGAGTTCGGTGACTCACCGAGACTCCAGAACTTCCCAGCTAGTCTCCCTCCAAGTGCTGCACCCTGAGAGCCGGAGGTGTCACGGGCCCTGTCCCGGAGAGGGTGGCGAGCTTGACAAGAAACCTGCGCGTGACAAGAAGCCCAGCCGTAGGAAAGGCGTGGCACAGGCCCCACGCAGGGTGGCCGTGCCGTTTTCCGGGAGGGGCCTCACTAACCACACTCCCTGACTTCACCCCGCGCCCCACAGGAGGGGGCGGTTGTTTCTTAACCTCCTGTTAAGATCAGCATGTGGAGAAAAGTGAGTCAGCTCCCCCGGTCTTCTCTCCGACTCCTTCACGGGATGGGCAGGAAGCCCTTTGCAGGGGACGCTGGAGCCCGCCAGACGGCCGGCCACACAGCACTCACCGAGAGCCTCCCCAGGCCCATGCACCACACAAGGGGCTCTGGTGTCCTCATCAGGACACCCTCAACACCCAAGGTCAAGGCTGAGGCCAGCTCCTAGCTCCTGGGACGAGCTCTGCCACCCTCGAGAGTCTGGCCCCAAGCAGCTTTTCTGTCACTTTGGTGATGACCATCAGGCAGAACCCATTAAGTGCTAATACTCCTGTTTATGGGTGTAAACGTGCTTGGAAGCCACATTTTGCAGACTGTCCAATAGGCGGCGAGTAGCAGCAGCGGGCTGGACGTTATTTTGGATTGCTGAGTTCATTAGAGTTTCTGGCTCTTTCCCACGGCTTCCGAATGCCCAGCTCCTGCACAGAGCACGTCTCAGCAGTTTCTCCAGAGCCCGGCTTCCTGGGAGGAAGAGGACACTGTCCCTGGCTGCCAGGGCAGGGAGCCTGATGCCAGGGGCAGAGACAGAGACACAGCTCGGGAGAGCCTGCCAGCAGAAACCAAGCAGACTGCTCTCCCCATGGACCGGCCTCTGCACACCAGAAGGCGGCGGTCCACCAAGCAGTGGGGAACTCAGCCTTTGGGGCGACCAGACGAGGACTAGCTCCAGCCCCGCCACCAGCCAGTGTAGACCACGGCAAACCTCACTCTCTCACAGAAGATGCAGATGCCACGGCCCACCTCCTGCAGTCAGAAGGGCCACGCGAGTCGCCCTTGTATACACCTAGCGTATCAAGGACGCAGCCTAGTTAAAGGTTCGGTATTATGGTCATAATTATCAGAGGACACTTGGGCCTGGCAGACAAAGCTTTTTTGAGGTTTCACTCTCAGCAGCCCAGACTTTGTGGTCAAATCCTGTCACTTCATTTTTGCTTTTGTTTTCTGAAGATTAGAAAAAAATGCATGTGTCACATTATCTGACCAGTGACTTCCATGATAATTTCCCACTGTCTTCAAATGAGATCATTTTCATGTAAACGCCCGAACTCTCACGTCATTCATTACTGGAAGCTTTGTTTCAAATATCGAGTGGCTAATTGTTAAAATGAATGGCACCACCCCAGTGCAGTCAGACTTTGTCACAGGAAGCCATGTTGTGGCTTCACACCCTATAAGCTGCCTATGGCAGAAGAGGGTCCTGATTTGGCTTGTGACAGCAAGAGAGTCATTGGCCTCCTGAGCTGCCCACAGGGGGCACGGAGTTCCTGCTGACATACTGTGTGCTGCCCAGGCAGACTGGAACCAAGAGGACTCTAACGCAGCTCTGCTGGCAGCGGAGCCTGCGCACTGAGCCTGCGCACTGACAGACGTGGCCTTCATCCACCTTGCGCTTCTGCTGTTTAAGCAGCACGCCCTTTCACCACGGACCGTCTTCCCCTCGATCTGTGCCACCAGAGGGGCACCAGGCACTGGAAACCGGCTGTACAGGGGCTTGACCAAGGGTGGAGACCTGGGGTCTCTTCAGGGCTGCGGCCACGGCACGTCCAGGAGCCTGGGCGGCCTCACCTTCCCCTCGGTTACCTGGTCGACGTCAGCCTGTGTCCCCCTCAAGGGCCTCTGCAGTTCCAAGATTCTGCTTCTTTCATTTAAAAGGTAACAAAATGCAGGGAGAAGGAGAAGAAGAAAGGATTACGTAAGCAGATTCTGAACTTCTTTTCAGTAGGAGAGCCTATCATTTAAGAGTTGGCAGCAGCTTGACTGGAGACATTTTATCTACATTTGGTTATGAAATTCACTTGCAAAACCAGGGTTTTGCAGGCTGAAGAGTGAGTGCACGAAGCTCTCATACTTCTCTCAGCTAAAACGAGCCATATTCTCAGGGAGTTGTTACTTGGGGAAATAAAATTGGGTCACTAAAATTTATGTCAATGAAAACTGACAAACAAAAAAGCCTACTTGCTTCTTGAGAGCTTTTGGCATGAACTGTGTTTGTGAGGAATACAGTTTTTAAACTGTGTCTTTGAACACAAAATTATGACCTTAGAAAAAACTGCTTCTTCAACTTGGTATACTTTTTACCCCAAAACTGGTTTAAAACATTAACTCACAGGAAAGTGATGCAGTAAGAACCACTGATGAGGACACACTAGAAAGATATCACCCCTCGAGGGGGACAACAGAAAAGCCCATTCACCAATAACTGATCAGAAAATGCTCACTTATTTTTTTAAAAACACACACTCAAAAGCCTTCCCATAAGTCTAGGCCTCAGAGTTCGATGACTCAGTACGACCCCGAAAAAAATTAAAAATTTAACCATCACTACTTTAAACTCTGGCGAAGCCACAGACACATGAAGTAGACCAAGGAGAAAATGGCAGGTGGGCCAGATGAGGGTCTGCCTGCAGGGTAAGGCTGCTCCTCTGCAGACGTAACGGGATACTTCTAGCAGTAAACGGCACACATCTAAATCACCGCCAGGCGTTCTTTCTGCCAAGCTTAATCAAAAGAGAGGGTGCAAGCTCGGTCCCTTCACTTTCCCAGGGTCTGATCCTGCCCACCCCGTTTCTGAATGCTTGCGACGACTCACAGCCTGTTCCCTGGGCTTCCCAGCTGCTCGGGTGCCACCTGTACACGTCGGGAAGGGAAAAAGCAGGCGACAGCCTTCCCCTCCTCCCAGGCTGTGTACAGACAGATCCCCGCTCAGTACGGCCCGGGGCAGAGTCCAAGCCGGGAGGGAAAGATGCAGGCAGGGTCAAAGGGACCCCACGAGTCCCGCGCATCTGGGAAAGAGGAGAAAACAGCGCGTGGCTTCCTGTAACGGGGGTGCATCCAGGGCGCCCCCTTTCCTCCCGGAGGACCCCCGGGCCGCCAGTCCGACCTAGCCCCGGTTGGGATCCGAGCTCCCCTCCCCGCCCCCCAGGCCGCCCGCTGGAAGGAAAGACGTGACCCGAACAATCCGCACGCAGAGGACGCCCCCATTTGCCGCAGACGGGCCCCAGACACCCCCGGACTCGAGCCGGGGCCCGGGAGCGGGGACGAG